ATGGGCAGGATAATGCATACATTTCTTACCAAGCATTGCAGCCTCCTCCTTTGTTTACCCTTCACATCCCTTCCCAGCCTCCCCCCTCCCCCCCATATTAGTTAATTTTTGTCATGGAACATTTAAAAAATATAAGTATTGCTTAAACCTTGAGTTTCTTATAAATTTACTGCTGTGTGTAATAACAATTAAAATTTGAACTGAAAATCTAAACATAACTATTCTTTGCCCATTTAATGCAAGCAAGGCAGAAGGACATTCTCATTGTAAGAGGTTCAAGTTTTACAGAAATACATTAGGAAAAGCTGTGGCTTCTAGTTTTTATTATGTTTCTATCTTTTTATGAATATTTAATTTTAAAGATGTTGGTTGAAGTGATTCCCTTTAAATTCTTTGTTTTAATTTTGTTCCTTCTTTTAGCCCTTTCTTTAATTGAACTAAACTTGTAGTTGGGAAATACTAGGAAATATTAGTCAGGGTATGCCTTGCTTAAATGGGAAATAAAAGGCATTTGGATTATGAAAATGGAAAGATATGATTGCAAGTGGAAAGATCTCTTGCATAGAGAACTAAAGGCTTTGACAATTCAGTTGACTTTTTTAAAAAGTTAAATGATGCATGTAGTAAGTATTCAGTAATTTTCCTTTTTTATTAGAAGCATGCCACATAATTTTTCAAAACATTGAAAGTTGTGTTTATACCACTTTAAATAAGATATTTTAAAAGTCTTTAAATAAAGATTTATTTCATAGAAATAAGTTAATTATTTGTTTGCTGTTGTAGCGAGGTCTGCTTGAAGTTCTTTATGACATATTTCGTCTTCCTCTACCTGTTGTAACAGAGGAGTTCATAGAGGCATTGCTCAGTGTAGGTAAGTTTTGAAGTGTTTTTGTACCTATTATTATAATTTTTAAGGTTACTTATCTAGTGTAAACACAGCTCTAAAGAACAATATTTAATGTAATTTTTTTACTTCATCAGCATGGCTTGAAATAAAACATGATAATAAAATGTCATATTCCTAGGAGTTTTAAGTTTCTTTCTTATCACCCTAGTTTACAAATAAGCTATGAAATTAATAGGAAAATGGATCAAGAAAGTAAGAGAGGAGCAAGAAACCTGGATTGTTTTCCCTTTTTTTTCTTTCCCCCGCCCTTTTGTTTTTTGGAGGTTGAACCAGGTACTAATCCACTTGGCCACATACCCTAAACCTTTTCCTTTAGATGTTTTTCAGATAGGGTCTTGCTGTTAATAGCCAAGTTTTGCCTGGAAGGCAGTCCTTTTATTTATGCTTGCTATGTAGCTGGGGATGGCAGGCAAGCACATGTCACCATACTTAGTTTTTTTATTGGTTGAGATGGCACTACAGTCCTCCTGTTCTCAGCCTCCTGAGAAGATGGAAGGATCACAGGCTTAAGCCACAAACCCAGCTTAGTCATTCTTATGTTACCCAATTAATTGTTCTCTTAATTTAGTCAAAAGACTGCTCTAAGTCCCAAAACGAAAGAAATTAGATCTGTGTGCATTTATATAGCTTTTTTTTTTTTTTTTTTTTTTGCCTCACACTGTCCCTGAGCCTCTTTTGCTCAAGGCTAGCACTCTACCATTTGAGCCACAGTGCCACTTCTGGCTTTTTCTGTTTATGTGATGCTGAGGAATCGAATCCAGCGCTTCATGCATGCTAGGCAAGCACTCTACCACTAAGCCACATTCCCAGCTCTAAATAGCTTTTTTTAAGTGTAATTGTTCTTTAAGCCAAAGAACCAGTTCTTTATTAGCCACACTTGTCTTTTTCAGTGTTACCTAATTGTCTTTGTAACCCCTTGGTTTTTCATTATAGATCCAGGAAGATTCCAAGACAGTTGGAGGCTTTCAGATGGCTTTGTAGCAGCTGAGGCAAAAACTATTCTCCCTCATCGTGCCAGATCTAGGTAGCATTAAAATACAAACGTTTAATTTGTCAATACTGCTTTTATATTAAACTGTGTACTATATGGAACATTGTTTAAGTTATTTCTGTGCTGTGTTTATTTCCAGACCAGACCTCATGGATAATTATTTGGCACTGATACTTTCTGCATTTATCCGCAATGGACTTTTAGAGGTAACAATTGTAAACCTCATTTTATTTTGTCCTTTTTACGTGGACTAAAAAATTCAAAGGGAAAGACACAAGTGATACATAAATGTATACATGTAAATAATTTTGTGTATGCATATACATTATGCACACATATATATACACACATATTTTTGTTTTTATAGGGTTTGGTTGAAGTGATAACGAACAGTGATGACCAAATCTCAGTTAGAGCTACCATACTTTTAGGAGAGCTTCTACATATGGTAAGTATTTCAACTTCACATCATCTGTTTCATACTTGAATGCTTTAGTAAAGCAGGTTAATTTAATATTCTTGCTTTATTTTACCCCCCCACCCAAAAATAAAATCAATTTGTATTTTTTGGTGGTAGAGATTGAACTCAAAGCCTTGGACTTTAGTTAGACAGGTGCTCTACCACTTGGGCTATGCCTCTAGCCCTTTTCCCATTGATTTATCATAAAGTATGTCTCATTTGATACTTAGGTCAGCCTGGACTATGATCCTCCTACTGGTATGTCCCTATGTCATTGGAGATGACATGTGCGTGCCATAGCACCCAGCCTTTAGTGGAGATAGAATCTCTCTTGAGACAAGTTCAAATGTTTTTGCCTAGGCTGGTCTTGAAACATGATTCCCCTGATCCTCACCTCCCATGTAGCTAGAATTATAGGTTTAAGCAACCAAGCTTACTAAATTTGCATTTTTAATAGTATTTATCTTTGCATTACAAAAATCCTTTGGTGCTTTTATTATGAGATGTATATATACATGCATCTAGTTTTGTAAATTAGTAAGGTACTCAGTATTGAATGTCAATCTCTTTTATATGGTTTTGAGCTTGAACTTAATGTCTTGCCACTTGCTAGACAAGCTCTCTACTTTTTCCTATTTTGCTTTAATTATTTTTTTTGGATAGGGTTTCATAGTCTTCCCCTCCTGAGCTGGACTCTGTTACTCTCCGACCACTAGCAGCACTTGGGTTATGTATGTGAGTGAGATAATGGAATAGAGCAAGGTGTTAACAGTTTTCTTCTTTTTAATGTATTGATCAGCCACTTGCTCTGTTCTTCAACCCATATATGAAAGAATAAGTCATTTTACAGGTTCTTGGGTTCGATTATATGTATTTGTGTATTTTTTTCTCTCATGACAGTGTAGGGTTTGAACTCAGGACTGTTATGTCCAATAAAGGCTAAGGGGACAGTCTCCAGCCCTAAGTTTAAGCTCCAGTACTGGCATGTTGGGGACACACACACACACACACACACACACACACACACACACACACACACACACAC